CTTACGACACTTGGTATTCTCAAGCGGTCACCCATCTAGGTAGTGACCAGTCTTGACGTTGCTTAACTTCGGTGATCGTACGGAAACTGGTGTATCAACGTCATGTGGCCGTCAGCCGACTTATTCCTTTAATGTAACTATTGCAGCATCATCTTAACAATCTTCTCTTCTTCAGCCCCCCCGCTTTTCGATCTCCTTTTCTTTTCTATGTCAGTTTTAAAACTCTTCTTACACTTTTACGGATGTGCTCGTTGATACTACCCCAGGTCAGGGTGGAACGGCGAAAAATAGCAATTAAGAGGTGGTTCCACGCTCCTCAAAGCCGCCATTATTCAGATCAGAGGACTTGCTGTTGTATGTCGTTTATCGTTACACCCAAGACTAAGAAGAAGAAAAAGGAGAATAAAAAAAAAGAAGAAGACAAGAAAAGAATGGTGGGGGGGGATATTTCAAATTAAAAGAGGAGGACAAAAACGAGAAAAATGCAAAAGAGGAAACATCAAGAAAAGCATGAAGAATTTGATTCGGTTTTTTACGGCTTGTCAACCATTTGTAAGTTAATGAAAGCCCCAAAATATCTTTTTTTAGAATCTAAGAATATTTTTTGAGATAATAATGGTTTAGTCATACAAGTCTTACTAATTAACCTATAACTGTATGGAGAATTGGATTCATGCCGTTCCCAAGGGAATTTCCGCGTAAGTGAATATAGAACTCCCAGTAGGAGTAGATAGGTTCGAACTCCTCCCAAAACTTTTGGACAGGGGGAGATGTTTATCCCTCGTTTTCTGTTTAGGATTAGTTTTCCGGTTCCTTCTAAATTTTACATTGTACTTCAGACTGAACTCCGAAACGTTATTCAGTAATTAAATCTTGACACCTACAAGTCAAGGATTAGCTAGCTTTCCTGCATAGCCTCAAGAACTTCACTTCTTGACCTTTTTTTATATTCATGCAGCACCACAGAGTAAACCCCTACCTTGAGTAGTTCTTGGGCCTTGTGTTATTAACAGTAGTAAAAAAAAATCTGGGATGGAACTCGTCTCTCCAATTCATAATTTCAAGCCATTATCCATTACACCACCCGCACATCCAGGCTTATAACACTTGATATTCCCAACCCATCACACATCTCAGACTGGACGTTGCTTAAATTCAGTGATCATTGAGGAACCAATGTTTCGATATGATATGGCCGTAAGCCAAGAATGGCGAAGAAAGAAAACATGAAGAAGAGAGTCTGAAGAAATGTAAAAGAAAAAAAGCGGACAAAAGCGTGAATAATAAGCCTATTATAATTGAGCTTCTCCCTCCCTTTCGTCAGTTAACACGACCGTTACGTCCTGTCGATACTTCATAAATAATAGACTATTCAGCGTTTTGATCGTGTGAAAAGAGGAAGGAAAGACATTACTTGGTTTCGGTGAGAAAAGGAAAAAAAATGGGATGAGAGAATCAGATACTACACTTTGATCTCAACCAAAAGACCGAGAAGTATTGGCAACCGCAATAAAGTGCCATTTTTCAGACGCGCACAATCGAACGATGTAAACTGAGTAAGAAATCACCAAAAATCCAATTACCATACATTAAATTAAACAACATCGTCTACTGAATTAATTTAAAATTATTATTAAGAGAAATGTTAGAAAGACAGGTCTTTGACTAGAAAAAAAAGAAAAAAATTAAGGGAAGATAAAAAAAAAGTGTTTACCGTCTCCTGCCAATCCCTCATAAATAATAAACTATTCCGTTTGGAAAGAGGGGAAAGGAACGATTTGATTTCAGTGAGAAAATGAAAGAAGGCAAGACAATTGTGTTTAACGGCTGTTTCAGTGAAATTTAAAAAGTTGTCAAGTTCAAATCTTTTCATTTGTATCCTCTTACTTCTTAAAATAACGATCGGCATTCATTCCTATTGTTCGTTCAAGTTGCTAAGCTCAAATATTTAAGGATTCGATAGGGATAATTCTACAAATATTTTTGTCGTAGAACATACTATTAACTTATTTAAACATTAAGTTAAGAATTAAGATTTATCTGAAAATTAAAATAGGAAAAACCGTTAAATTATCATGGTTTTTTCTAATATTACTACTACTACTACTACTAATATTAATAATAATAATAATACTAAACAAAAAGAATTGATGTAACTCTTCCAATAATTTTCAACAGTTAGGAGATCATGATTTAAGAAAAAAAAAGGAAAACTAAGGGAAAAAAAGACAAAAATGAAAAACATTATTTGACAATGTTAAACAATATTTCTTTATCAAAGACTGCTTTTCTTATCTTTTCTTAAATCACGCTTTTAACTGCTGTAATAATAATAATAATAATAATAATAATAATAATAATAAGAAGAAGAAGAAGAAGAAGAAGAGGAAGAGGAGGAAAAATAAAACCATGACGATTATGACGACAAACATGAATTTAAGGATGACATTTGCTGTTGCTGCTGTTAATGATGATAATTATGTTGCTGATGATAAGGTGGAGAATCATATTCGTTAATGGTTCTACTACTACTACCACACCACTACCACCAACAACAACAACCACAATAATAATAATAATAATAATATTAATAATAATAAGAAGAAGAAGAAGAAGGAGTAGAAGAGGAAGAAAAAATAAAACCATGATGATTATGATGACAAGCAAGATGATGATGATGATGATGATCACGCTGCTGCTGCTGCTAAAGTAGAGGATTATATGTCTTAATGTTTTCACTACCACTACTATTAACAGTATCATTAATAATAAAATATTATTATTAATAATAAAGGAAGAAGAAAACGTATTAGTAGTAGAAGAGGAAGAAGAAAAAGAAGAAAAAGAAAAGAATAAGAGAATATATTATCAATAATAAAATAAGATATTATTATTATTAATAATAGAAGAAGAAGAAGAAGAAGAAGAAGAAGAAGAAGAAGAAGAAGAAGATATGTAAAGTTTTATGACTCAGCAACAATTGGCCATCGTTTTATTGATCAGATCCAACACGCTTGGGACAATCCAGAATCATTCTCATATATCAGGGCGTGGGATATCTATTACTATTCCTATAACTTGTAGCTCTTAGAAATATTTTTTTCCTTTAACTGGCTTCTCATTTATCGTTCCGCAATCTATTCACTTAAGCTCGTCATTTAGATGATCTGATGACATCTCCTATCCATTTTGCCTACGATATGTCCTGTGGGTGTCAAATTCTCCAAGACTTCCTTCCTCATTATGAGTCCAAGAAATGTCAGCAGTTCTTTCTCGTTCTTAGTTTAATCGTACTTTTTGTTTTCTATTTTCTTTAAGACTTGTTTACACGATCTGACCATGGAATTTCCAGCATCCTCTTCTAGAACCATATTCCTGCTGCCTTGATTTTTATCATCATCTTTGATAGGAGGACCGATATTACATGAAAACTCCACGCACTTTTCTTGATTTCTAACGAAGATTTCCTGTTTCCTAGTATTTTGCTGGGCTTTTGGAAGGCATCTTTTCGCTATTTCAATACGCGTTCGGATTTTGGTTTTACATGTTCGACCCTCTGTTAAAACATTTCCCAGGTATTTAAACTTCTGCACCAGCTTGATGTCATCATTTCCAATTCATAGTGTGGATCTTGGACATTGTAGTGGACCATGGCTGCGATGTTGTTGATAGAATTAGAAGAACACACGTGGGTAGAAATTTCCTGCTAGACGGTCCAACTACATGAGAAAGTTGGACTTTAATTAAGTCCAAAGAAGGCAAAGAAAAACAAACACAAGACTGATAAATATATGCATAGAAATATATATATTAATAACAAGTTACATGGACAGTTACAATGTGTGTGTGTGTGAATATTATATGTGTGTGTGTGTGTGTGTGTGTGTGTGGTGAGTGTTCGTACGTACGTGTATTGTGCTTAGCGTGTTCCCAGCATTTGGGAAACGCTATCTCTGTGAGCGTTTACATCTGCGAGGTGGTAAGGCTGAAAGCCTGAGAAAAAGAGAGAGAGAGACAAAGGGTCAGCGACTATTTATAGCCAGAGAAGAGACCCCAGTTGAAAGGGTTAACGAACTAAAGGAGGAGTTAACTCCGACAACATGTTGTCTTGCTGAATCCGTCTCCTTTCAAATGACCGATAGTCCTTTCTTCTCGCTTTCCTTTACAGACATTTCTAGGAGGTCCTGTAGTTTTCCTTATAAAGTATGTAATTAACAGAAATGTTCAGAGAATCTTGAGAAATGGAGTTAAAAGACATATCATGAACGCACAACTGGTTTTAATGAAGAAAACAAGGAATACAAAATTAAGATGGAGAAGAAATGAAAGAAAACAGGCAGCCGATCTCGTGGACACTCATTTCACGATGCTAATTAGTGTCAGAGAAAAACTTATTAATAGACAAGCGTGAAGAGGTCAAAAAACGCCGAATTAGGGTCAAAGCACTCGTTTTTAGATAGTTTTAGCAGAGGACATTTTGATGAATTTTAATGCTTTTTTTTTCTTTTTATTTCTTTTCTTTCTTTCTTTTTTTTAATGTTTTCGTCATTCAGTTAAAGTTTCAATGAAATATAATCATCCAGTTTAGATGGAGAAAAAATTCTATTAAAAAAAAATACTACTACTACTACTTACGGAAAATTGAATGAATTGATAAATGAAGAACAACAATAACAACAACATCTACAACCACAACAACAACTATTACCAATTAGGAAAAGGTGGAAGTATTAATAAGAGAGGAAGAACAAAAAAAATCAACAAGAATTGCTACTACTACTCATACTATTGCGGGCAAAAGAGGAATAATCAATAGCAGAAGAATAAGGAGGAGGAGGAGTATGAAAGAAGGTGGAGGAGGAGGAGCACGATGGGAAAAGAAGTAGGAGGAGGGTCGGAAGAAGATGGAGGAGGAGAGGAGAAGGGGGAGAGGGTGGAGGAGGAAATGAAGAAGAATGAGAAGAGGAAAGGAGAAGAAGAGGAGTAGGGCAGAAGAAGGAGGAGGGGAGAAGACGAAGAAGGAGGAGGCGGAAGAAGAAGAAGATGGGAGAGGAGGAGGAGAAGAAGAAGAAAAAGAAGAAGAAGAAGAAGAAAAAGGAGAAGAAGAAGAAGGAGAAGAAGAGTAGGGCAGAAGAAGGAGGAGGGGAGAAGACGAAGAAGGAGGAGGAGGAAGAAGAAGTAGGGAAAGGAGGAGGAGGGAAGAAGAAGAAGAGTAGGGCAGAAAAAGGAGGAGGGGAGAAGACGAAGAAGGAGGAGGAGGAAGAAGAAGAAGATGGGAGAGGAGGAGGAGGGAAGAACAAGAAGAAGAACAGTAGGGCAGAAAAATAAGGAGGGGAGAAGACGAAGAAAGGAGGAGGAAGAAGAAGAAGATGGGAGAGGAGGAGGAGGCAAGAAGAAGAAGAAGAAGAGTAGGGCAGAAGAAGGAGGAGGGGAGAAGACGAAGAAGGAGGAGGAGGAAGAAGAAGAAGATGGGAGAGGAGGAGGAGGTAAGAAGAAGAAGAAGAGTAGGGCAGAAGAAGGAGGGGGAGAGAAGACGAAGAAGGAGGAGGCGGAAGAAGAAGAAGAAGAAGAAGAAGAAGAAGAAGAAGAAGAAGAAGAAGAAGAAGATGGGAGAGGAGGAGGTGGAGGAGGGGGAGAAGAAGAAGAATAAGAAGAATTGTGAGAAACCGAAAAAAACGAACTAACAAAATGTTGGAAAAGAGAGAAAAAAAGATATCTTCTTTCCATTTACCTGGGCAGTTATGGGGAGTGGTTTTGCTGAAAAGAGTACACGCCTCTTCGCTTTCCTATTAGAAGACAGCCTGCGACAGAACATTCTTTGTCATGATACCTGAACATGAGCCCGAGCGTCGAAATGCGGATTTGCGCTATTTCCCCAAGGGGCATAGCGTGATGTGGGCACAAGTGAACGCCCGCAACCCGACTCTCAGATTTTATGTAAGCCAATGCCTTTACAATAATATTAGCATTAACCAACCGATACTGGGAAACATTCTAAAAATATATAAACTTTATTTCATGATTGATTGATTCGTTTTCTACGGCTTATCAACCCTATGCAGGTTATTTAAAGCCAGAACACGTGTTCTCGTACGATCACCGAAATTAAGCAACCTCGAGTCTAGTCAGTACCCAGATGGGTGACCGGTTGGGAATACCAGGTGCTGTAAGCGTGGATGTGCAAGTGGTGTAATAAAAACGCTCGGAATTGAAAATCGGAGAGCCAAGTTCCATTTCTAGTCGGTTCGTTATATTCACTTACGCGCACATACTCTTAAGAAAGGTATGAATACACCGCTTACCCCCAGGTATGGATTAATTAGTAGGACTTGTATCAGTAAATCATTATTATCTACAAAATACTTTTAAGATCTAAAAATATTTTCTGAATTTAAATAACCTGCAAAAAGCCGTAAAAAATGAATCATGGAATTATTTTTCAATAATGTTGGCATTAACCAAACACTTTCGATAAGATTTTCGGTATATAATCTCTGGATATTCGTATCCCTGTCTGTTAGTGTAGGTGACAATTCCCTGTTGCAAATGCCTGCTCAGACACATTGGTGTTTGTTCAACTGACACAGTGATCACCCTTAGTTTATACTGCAATTCTGTTGAACAATCCCTAGTTACTGCTTCTGGAAGAGAGTGAAGTATCTGGCGGGATCAGCAGTTTGAACAGGCCGGTACGCTCATACCCTCGGTCATGAAGACTTGTGACTTTGTGCTAGCCTAACCATTAGCCAATTTCACTCACAAGTTTCGGGTTAACTAGTTGATTGGCTTTCAGGCACATTCCAACGCTCAAACGTCGTTAACAATTCCTCACCACTACGAGGCATCATTATACCAGCAAATACGGTAGATTTTTAATGACACGTCTAAGATCTCTCTAACATTGGGAATATTTGGATTAATTTTATAATAATATTAATAATAATAATAATAATAATAATGAATAAGTATGAACACCACCCAGACCCGATTACGGAGATAGGACCTAAAACAATTTTATGGGACTTCACATTACACACAACACAATCAAAGTTAATCTCCGTCATCGTTATTAGAGACAAAAAAAGTGCCTCTTTATTGATATGGCAGTCACTGCAGACTGCAATGTATCTTTGGTTTGGTTTAGATTGGTTTGGTTTATTTTGTTTTACGGCATATCAACCTCAATGGGTTATTTAATGCCGACAAAATTTTTTAGGATAGATTCGTATGAATAGAATATGTATTCTTTGGTTTAGATTGGTTTGGTTTATTTTGTTTTACGGCATATCAACCTCAATGGGTTATTTAATGCCGACAACATTTTTAGGATAGATTCGTATGAATAGAATATGTATTCTTTGGTTTAGATTGGTTTGGTTTATTTTTGTTTTACGGCATATCAACCTCAATGGGTTATTTAATGCCGACAACATTTTTAGGATAGATTCGTATGAATAGAATATGTATTCTTTGGTTTAGATTGGTTTGGTTTATTTTGTT